GTTTTCAAATAGAGTTAGAGCTAAAGAAGGAGTAGCAGTAATGTTGAAGGATAAGCTATGGCAGGAAAAGAGGGACTATAAATGTATTAATTCAAGGATTATGTGGAGTAAAATAAAGATTGGATGTGAAAAGTGGGTTATAATAAGCGTGTATGCACCTGGAAAAGAGAGAAGTGTAGAGGAGAGAGAGAGAGATTTTGGGAAATGTTGAGTGAATGCGTGGGAGTTTTGAATCAAGTGTGAGAGTAATGGTGGTTGGGGATTTCAATGCTAAAGTGGGTAAAAATGTTATAGAGGGAGTAGTAGGTAAATTTGGGGTGACAGGGGTAAATGTAAAATGGGGAGCCTTTAATTGAGATATGTGTAGAAAGAGATTTGGTAATAAGTAATACATATTTTATGAAAAAAGAGGATAAATAAATATACAAGGTATGATGTAGCACGTAATGAAAGTAGTTTATTAGATTATGTATTGGTGGATAAAAGGTTGATGGGTAGGCTCCAGGATGTACATGTTTATAGAGGGGGAACTGAAAATATCGGATCATTATTTAGTTGTAGCTACAGTTAGAGTAAGAGGTTTGATGGAAAAGAGGAAGGTGGCAACAACAAGTAAGAGGGAGGTGAAAATGTATAAACTAAGGGAGGAGGAAGTTTGGGTGAGATATAAGCGACTATTGGCAGAAAGGTGGGCTAGTGCAAAGATGAGTAGCGGGGAGGTTGAAGAGGGTTGGAATAGTTTTAAAAATGCAGTATTAGAATGTGGGGCAGAAGTTTGTGGTTATAGGAGGGTGGGGGCAGGAGGAAAGATTGGTGGAATGATGAAGTAAAGGGTGTGATAAAAGAGAAAAAGGTAGCTTATGAGAGGTTTTTACAAAGCAGAAGTGTTATAAGAAGAGCAGAGTATATGGAGAGTAAAAGAAAGGTAAAGAGAGTAGTGAGAGAGTGCAAAAGGAGAGCAGATGATAGAGTGGGAGAGGCACTGTCAAGAAATTTTAATGAAATAAGAAAAAATTTTGGAGTGAGCTAAACAAGTTAAGAAAGCCTAGGGAAAGTATGGATTTGTCAGTTAAAAACAGAGTAGGGGAGTTAGTAGATGGGGAGAGGGAGGTATTAGGTAGATGGCGAGAATATTTTGAGGAACTTTTAAATGTTAAGGAAGAAAGAGGCAGTAATTTCATGCACTGGTTAGGGAGGTATACCATCTTTTAGGAGTGAAGAAGAGCAGAATGTAAGTGTGGGGGGAGGTACGCGAGGCATTACGTAGAATGAAAGGGGGTAAAGCAGCTGGAACTGATGGGATCATGACAGAAATGTTAAAAGCAGGGGGGGATATAGTGTTGGAGTGGTTGTACTTTTGTTTAATAAATGTATGAAAGAGGGGAAGGTACCTAGGGATTGGCGGAGAGCATGTATTAGTCCCTTTATATAAAGGGAAAGGGACAAAAAAGACTGTAAAAATTATAGAGGAATAAGTTTACTGAGTATACCGGGAAAAGTGTACGGTAGGGTTATAATTGAAAGAATTAGAGGTAAGACAGAATGTAGGATTGCAGATGAGCAAGGAGGTTTCAGAGTGGGTAGGGGATGTGTAGATCAAGTGTTTACATTGAAGCATATATGTGAACAATATTTAGATAAAGGTAGGGAAGTTTTTATTGCATTTATGGATTTAGAAAAGGCATATGATAGAGTGGATAGAGGAGCAATGTGGCAGATGTTGCAAGTATATGGAATAGGTGGTAAGTTATTAAATGCTGTAAAGAGTTTTTATGAGGATAGTGAGGCTCAGGTTAGGAAGTGTAGAAGAGAGGGAGACTACTTCCCGGTAAAAGTAGGTCTTAGACAGGGATGTGTAATGTCACCATGGTTGTTTAATATATTTATAGATGGGGTTGTAAAGGAAGTAAATGCTAGGGTGTTCAGGAGAGGGGTGGGATTAAATTTTGGGGAATCAAATTAAAAATGGGAATTGACACAGTTACTTTTTGCTGATGATACTGTGCTTATGGGAGATTCTAAAGAAAAATTGCAAAGGTTAGTGGATGAGTTTGGGAATGTGTGTAAAGGTAGAAAGTTGAAAGTGAACATAGAAAAGAGTAAGGTGATGAGGGTGTCAAATGATTTAGATAAAGAAAAATTGGATATCAAATTGGGGAGGAGGAGTATGGAAGAAGTGAATGTTTTCAGATACTTGGGAGTTGACGTGTCGGCGGATGGATTTATGAAGGATGAGGTTAATCATAGAACTGATGAGGGAAAAAAGGTGAGTGGTGCATTGAGGTATATGTGGAGTCAAAAAACGTTATCTATGGAGGCAAAGAAGGGAATGTATGAAAGTATAATAGTACCAACACTCTTATATGGGTGTGAAGCTTGGGTGGTAAATGCAGCAGCGAGGAGACGGTTGGAGGCAGTGGAGATGTCCTGTTTAAGGGCAATGTGTGGTGTAAATATTATGCAGAAAATTCGGAGTGTGGAAATTAGGAAAAGGTGTGGAGTTAATAAAAGTATTAGTCAGAGGGCAGAAGAGGGGTTGAGGTGGTTTGGTCATTTAGAGAGAATGGATCAAAGTAGAATGACATGGAAAGCATATAAATCTATAGGGAAAGGAAGGAGGGGTAGGGGTTGTCCTCGAAAGGGTTGGAAAGAGGGGGTAAAGGAGGTTTTGTGGGCAAGGGGCTTGGACTTCCAGCAAGCGTGCGTGAGCGTGTTAGATAGGAGTGAATGGAGACGAATGGTACTTGGGACCTGACGATCTGTTGGAGTGTGAGCAGGGTAATATTTAGTGAAGGGATTCAGGGAAGCCGGTTATTTTCATATAGTCGGACTTGAGTCCTGGAAATGGGAAGTACAATGCCTGCACTTTAAAGGAGGGGTTTGGGATATTGGCAGTTTGGAGGGATATGTTGTGTATCTTTATATGTGTATGCATCTAAACTGTTGTATTCTGAGCACCTCTGCAAAAACAGTGATAATGTGCGAGTGTGGTGAAAGTGTTGAATGATGATGAAAGTATTTTCTTTTTGGGGATTTTCTTTCTTTTTTGGGTCACCCTGCCTCGGTGGGAGATGGCCGACTTTTTTTTTTTTTTTTTTTTTCAACAAGACAAAGATGACGACAGCCAGAAAGATGACAGGGTGGGTATTGAGAACTTTCAAAACAAGGGAAACAATGCCGATGGTGACACACTTCAAATTGCAAGTGCTCTCTCAATTAGAATATTGCTCAGTGCTGACGGCCCCATACAGGGCAGGAGAAATATCGGAGCTGGAACAAATACAGAGATCGTTTATGGCTCACATTGAGCCAGTAAAGCACCTAAACTAATGGGAACGCCTGCAAGTCTTGAACATGTATTCATTGGAGCGGAGGAGAGAGAGGTACGTGACAATATATACCTGGAAGGTACTCGAGGGTTTGGTCCCAAATCTGCACACTGCCATAACATACTGGAGTGAGAGATATGGGAGGAAGTGTAAAATAAACCCAGTGAGGAGCATGGGTGTAGTGGGGACAATAAGGGAACACTGTATCAACATCCGGGGTCCCAGACTTTTCAACATCTTACCAGAAGATATCAGAAACACTGCTGGAACAAGTGTTGAAGCCTTCAAGAAGAAACTAGACAAGTATCTTCACCAGGTGCCAGATCAACCAGGCTGTGATGGATATGTGGGGCAGCAGGCCTTCAGCAGTAACAGCCTGGTTGACCAGGCGAGCATCAGACTAGCCTGGCCCACGGCCGGGCTCAGAGAGTACATATACTCTCGAAATTCTTCAAAGGTATATCAAAGGTATGCATTTTTTAGGTCTACCTATATTGCTCACGTAATACGTATATGATAGTGTAAATGTGTTATCAGGCTTTTATATGCATTTGAAAGTGAAAAAAGGCAAAGATTAACTTTACAGCTATTTTTGCTGTACAGCAGTAGCCTGGAACCTAACCTGCAGTACCCTCCTGTAACATAATTCATTACTGGGTTTGGCATTTAGCTTAATAATGATAATACTAAAATCATGAGAACATATGTATACTATGTTTAACCTGTGACCCTATCAAACTTTGTATTTTTTTTACTTACATTACCTAACAGAATACTTCATTCTATTGAATGCTCAGCAACTCAGCAAATGACTATATGACCTGTCTTTGAAATACTCATTTGTGCTTAATTGTTATTTGTTTACTATAATTTTTACCACTGAATATATCATTGCTTAGTTAATCTTAAGCCTGCCCATAATACTCTGCATACAAGGGACTTTGGCATGTTACACTTAACCACTGTATTTCTTTGTATATCTATGTATCATGTCCAAATTAATAATAAATAAATAAATGTAAAGACAAATTTCTGAATAAAGGCCTCATGAAATGTTTTGGGTGAAGGAGTTATGAGAAATGCAAATATATATTATCTATATGTTGTTTACAGGATACATTTTAATCATTTGAAAATTACAGATTAATACTTTAGTTCCGTTCAGAATTTATTAAGAAATTTTATCTACAGTATTATTTTATGGTCCACCTCTTGAATGACTGATATGAATCAGCTCCTTTCACATACAGGTTTAAACCCCTAAATTGGTTTCTATCCATCCTGCCAAACTTCTTCACATTTACAAACGTTGCTTAACTGCCACATCCTCTTGTTCTGGATCCTTTGGTCAGCAGTGATCATGTTACCCATGTTTCTCCATGGACATGAGTTTTAGCTCATTTTATCTCTCGGCTCTGGTACCAGAGCCAAAAGTTTGCTTTACTGGTGCATATTTGAGCTTTTGATTGGTCATATAGTCATAAAATAACTTCAGAAAGGCTTTGTTAGGTCACTGAAGGCTATGCTTACTGTTGCCAGCCTAGTATATGATGATGTTAATATGCTTGTGTGCTTCAGGAGTCATTTATGTAAAATATCTTAAAATGTATGTGGAACAATACTTAATTCTATCCTCAAATTAACCAATACTAGCTTAATAAAACAACAGCATGAAAGCTATTAAAAGTTTAATAAAAATTACAGTACATATATGAACTCGGAATTCAAGGTCTCTGAATATCACAGATGCGTTTACTTGACTTTCTAAGAGCTTTCAATGTAATTATGAAAAACAAAATTTAAGTACCAACCTTAAGATCAAAAATTTCTGGAGCATTCAGCACTATGACCCTTTCAGGTTTAGCACTTAATTTTAATATATTATTATTACACAGGAGAGTTCAACCATATTTTAACATTCAAATTTTAGCTACAGTTTTGTGCATTTTTCATTTAATTCTAGTTACCAATATCCCACCTCTAACTTTATCTACCATAAAATGGTAAAGCCTTAGGTATTAGATGCCATCCAATAAAAAAATATACAGTGGACCCTCAGATATCGGCCATTCCAGATATCGGCCAAATCGGATTTTGGCCGCTTTTTTGGCCGAAATTCTATCCTGGATTTTGACAGGCACCTCGGAAATTGGCCATAATGGACACATCTGCCCACCACGCTCATGAGTCAGTCTGGCTGTGTCTCTCGGTGAGTGAGCAAGACTCTACGCATTCATCCAAACATTTCGTTATAATCCATAGCTTTTTGTGGTTGTTTATCGAGTGCGACTGTGAAATAAGCCACGATGGGCCCAAAGAAAGTTCCTAGTGCCAGCCCTTTGGTAAAGGGCTGAGAGAGAGGGGAAAACGTGCCTTCTTCAGCGAGTCAGTGATTCTACGATATGTTCGATACAAAAGCAGCAGGAGCTGATAAAGGCTATAGTGCCAGCCAGGGATAAAGTGTAGCATTAACAGTGTAGCAAGTTAAGCGATTAAGTGATCGAAAAAGGACGACACGAAACTAAATCCTCCAATGTTGTTGGAGGTATATAAGGCCACTGACATCATATGCTGCCCTGCATATCTTCCACCACCCTAAACCTTTGCCAGCATCTCAATAACCATTTATTTCTTTACATTCTCCATAATAACCACTTTATTTCTTTACATTCTCTATTATGTTTTTATACAATATTTCTTGTTTATAAATTACGTACATTGTTTCAGTGTGACTAGTGGTGTTTCAGTGTTACTAGTAATGTGAGTAGTGGTGGTAGCCGCTGCCGCCACCACTATCACCACTATACGCTTATGCTGTCAGTGGCCCTGAAAAACCCAGCAACACTACTACCACCACCACCACCACCACTAGTCACATACGTAATGACATATTTTATTGATTCTAGAGTATATATCATGTTTGTATGTTATTAATATTGTTCATTATGTGATAATATATGAATTAGCAGCGCTGTATAGTCCTTGTGGCTTAGCGCTTCTTTTTGATTATAATAATAATAATAATCATTGCTTAGTTAATCTTAAGTTAATTTTAAGCCAGCCCGTAATGCTATGCATAGTATAAGTGGCTTTGGCATACTGCTCTTATCTGTATTTTTTTTGTACCTCTGTATGTGTGCACAAATTGGAAATAAATAAATAAATAAATTGTGATAGATAAATAAGCTGTTGATATTAGCACCAACAAGAGTCTTCAATAAAGGTAAAAGTGATGTTAAATGTTCATTTATTCATGTCATTAGTCATTTTATTTAGTTCTCATTGTTTTGTGTATGTAAAATATAGTTAATCTTTAAAAAATGTATTTTTTGTTAATATTTTTGGGTGTCTGGAACGGATTAATTGTATTTACATTAATTCTTATGAGAAATATTATTTCAGTTTTCGACCTTTTTGGATTTAGGACGACCTTCTGGAACGGATTACAACCGATAACTGAGGGTCCACTGTAATAGCCTGTCAAACCAACAACTTATAAATCAGAAGGCACTCGGAATGAAAGCTTTGGTGAGGGCAAGAATTGGAGCACCAGAAGGAATGCCAGGAAATGGTCCTGATGATCCAGCAATATCCAGGTGAGAGTATTTTAGTGGCTGACTGCTATCCTTTCCATGCTGAAAGAAAATCTTTATGTAATTTCACTGGTTGTAAATGTTAAGACAATATATCTAAGGAAAGAAAACAAGATTAGCATGCAGGATATGCACAAAGGCAGAGCTTTCTTTCTTTTCTTTCAACACACCGGCCGTATCCCACCGAGGCGGGGTGGCCCAAAAGGAAAAACGAAAGTTTCTCCTTTTACATTTAGTAATATATACAGGAGAAGGGGTTACTAGCCCCTACAAAATTCCCTTAAGCAGAGATCTAGATATGAGAGTAAGTAAGTAAGTAAGTAAGTTTATTCAGGTATACACAATACAGTTACATATTATTATTATTATTATTACAATCAAAAAAGAAGAATACAGTTACATAGAATTATCATACATAGCAGCATATGTGTAGAGAACCTGGGATAACCCAAAAAAGTCAGACAGAGTGACTTATTTCCATTGGGGTCCTTTTACCTTATTATTATAATATAAAGGTTATAATATTTTCTTATTATTCTATAATGAAGATAACATCTTATTATCATACTAAAAAGACTATCTACTACACGAGGGTCATTAAGACTATCTACAATACGAGGGTCATTAAGACTATCTACTACCCGAGGGTCATTACGACTATCTACAATACGAGGGTCATTACTAGGGATAAGGTAAAATTTACACGTATTTTAGCTAAAAAATAGAAAATCATTCCCCTCCCTTTCTGTTGCTTCATTCATCAGACACTTTTTGGCAGTCTTCTTGAACTGGTTCAAGCTATGACTGGCCTTGACATTTGTGGGTAGTCTGTTCCATTCCTTTATTGCTGTACAATAAAAGGTGTTTGAAGCCTGGCCACTGACTGTGGGTACTACAAAGTTGTGCTCTCTCCCCCTAGTACTATGATTGCTTTGGTTCCCAACCTTGACAAAATTGACAGCAAGATATTCTGGACACTGTTCGTGAGCAATTTTATAAACATGATTTAGCTTCAGTTGTTTTACTCTGTCTTCAACATTCAGCATATCCAACTGCTGTAATTCATCCTGGCCTACATGTTCTCTTGGTCCCAGCCCCAGGATGAATCTTACGATTTTTTGAAGACATTTAGTAGAATGTTACAGATGCACCTCATAATATTGTGAAAGCATCATTGTTTCTTAATTAGGTATCCCTGAAGAGAATAGTCAGAGGGTATTATGCTATAGGTACTAGGCTTCTTTGGTGTGTACATCTAAAACTCCTGGGTCTCTTGGACTTCATGGAAGGTTTCAGATATTACTCCTAGGTCTGTTGAGGGCACTAAGCTGCTACTGCAACTGCTCTGCCTCCTCAGGGTATGGAGGCTCAACTACTAGGCCTCTCATGAGGGCCTAGTTGTAGGGTATGTGATATGAGGAATACCACTCTTCCATGAAGAGCAGTAACATTTATAAACTAAAGTAAGAGTAAAACATAATTCACAGGCAGGACTTATTTTTGCTTCAAAATGCACAAAAAAATTAAAGTTCCATACATATAGTATTAATATAGCACAGTAGTCCCCGCGTATCGGAGGGGCATATGTTCCAAGACCTACCATGGATACCTAAAACCCTATATGTACAGTGGACCCCCAGTTTACGATATTATTTCATTCCAGAAATATGTTCAGGTGCCAGTACTGACCGAATTTGTTCCCATAAGGAATATTGTGAATTAGGTTAGTCCATTTCAGATCCCCAAACATACACATACAAACGCATTTACATAAATACACTTACATAATTGGTCGCATTGGGAGGTGATCGTAAACCGGGGGTCCACTCTACAGTATAAGTCATTTTTCATTTACATACATACATATCATAAAGTTTAAGTGATAAATTATGCAAATAAATCTAGACTTAGCACTTCTTCACTAATGGGAAGCATTTCACAGATTCTCTTAGGCTTTGAAGAACTGCCAGCATCACCACTGCTGCATTTTAGGGCCAATATTAAGCAAAATTAAGGGTTATTTTTGGGCCACAGTAAACAGTGGATAACTGAAACTGCAGATACCGAATCTGTGGATATGGGGGTTCTGCTGTACTAATATTTGTGTGTAGTCTCTACATGTGACAAAAGACTTGAGAGGGCATTATTTTGTGTGCAGGTAAGTATATACAGGTCGGCCATCACTAATCCAGCGTCATCGGGACCTGTAGTGTGCCGGATTACAGAGTGGTTAGGCTAGAATGCACTTAATTAACCTATCAATAGAGAGACTTTTGCTACATCTTCCTCACTTTCATCACTGCTTTCTCCTCCACTGGCTTGCTGCTGTGGATTTACAACCATCTGCACAATTTCTGTGTCAGTATAATGATGAAATTTGAGTCAGTATGATGATGAAATTTGAAATTATACTAGCTGAAATTAGTGCCGGATTACTGATAGAACCAGATAACTGATTGCCAGATTAGTGATGGCCGACCTGTATTATTTAGCTGAGAATGTATACAATTAAGTACTGTGAACAGAGTGCATTAGTTTTTCTCAGAATTCAACAACTTACCTTGTCAAGACCCGATGACATTACAAGGAATGCAGAGGGAGTCTGATGTCCACGAGGTGTGCGTGATGAAGGTAAATTGTTGCACTGTAGTACATCTTCATATTCACTTTTGCCACAGTGAAAGTCGTAATCTTCACGACGAATGGTTGAAATCTGGAACAAAAAAATAATTTAAACTAATAAAATTATAATTGATTTATCTGCATTATAACAAACCAACTGATCCTTCTTATTGTCATGTACCATGCTAATGCTTTTATCTACTTACATATTTTTTGTCATATTTATTGAAGAAATTTGAAAGTGAATACTGATTAGAGTAAGGCGATGAGGGTATCAAACAAGATGGGTGAAGAAAAATTGGATATCACATTGGAGGGAGGGCGTATGGAAGAAGTGAATGTGTTCAGATGTGTTCACTTGTCAGCAGATGAGTTTATGAAGGATGAGGTGAAAAAAAAGGGAGGGTGGTGCACTGAGGTATCTGTGGAGACAAAGAATGTTATCCATGGAGGCAAAGAAGGGAATATGAAAGTATAGTGGTACCAACACTCTTATATGGGTGTGAAGCTTGGGTTGTAAATGCTGTAGCAAGAAGGCTGTGCTGTATGACCCTTGTAGGTTTAGCATTTCTTTTTGATTATAATAATAATGTAGCAAGGAGGAGGCTGGAGGCAGTGGAGATGTCATGTATAAGGGCAATGTGTGGTGTAAATATTATGCAAAGAATTCGTAGTGTGGAAATTAGGTGGTGTAGAGTTACTGAAAGTATTATTCAGAGGGCTGAGGAGGGGTTGTTGAGGTGATTTGGTCATTTAGACTTGGAGGGTATATTTATTTATTTTTATTTATTTATTTATTTTATGTCTTTGCAAAAAGTACATTGAGATTTTGTATTTACAATAGTGGGTTGCAATGCAAAGAGAGCCTCTATTATGCCTAGGCATTATGGGCCAACTTAACATTATTGGCTTACAGACTACTTAACACTAAGGATTATATCATAGTTGTACAGTAGGATAGTAATTATTTCATAGTTGTACAGTAGATTATTAATTATAAGTGAATCAAATTTGTATAAGACAAAAGATATATTCGTATATTCAAGAATGCTTTTTATGAAAACAATTATTCAATTATATTCCTGTCAACAATGGATAAAAGGTTCAAAGTAATTGTTGAAGTTATGATGTGGGAGTACATAAGTGAGTATGTATGTACTGAGTATTTAGCATTTAGTCTAGGGTGATTAAGTGGCTTTTAAGAAGAGTCTTACATTGATTGTCAGACCGGGTTACTTTAATATCTTCTGGTAATGAATTCCATATTTTGGGGCCCTTTATGTGCATAGAGTTTTTACACAGTGTGATATGGACACGAGGTATATCAAAAAGAGATCTGTGTCTTGTGTTGTGGTCATGTGTCCTGTTTAAGTTGGTGAGGAGGAGTTTGAGTGGAGAGTTTATATTTGCGTGTATTGTTCTGTGTATGTAATAGGCACATGAATAAATATGGATGTTCTTAATGGTGAGAAGATTCAGACTTTTGAAAATTGGTGGAGTATGCTGGCGGGAGTGGGAATTTGTTATCATTCTTACTGCTGCCTTTTGCTGGGTTATTAGGGGTTTTAGGTGATTGGATGTTGTTGATCCCCATGCACAACTTCCATACGTAAGATAAGGGTATATGAGTGAATAGTACAGTGCCAGGAAAGCTGATTGTGGAATGTAGTACCTTATCTTTGATAGTATGCCTACAGCCTTGGTGATTTGTTGTATATGTGTCTGGAATTAAGGCTACTGTCAAGGTGGATATCTAGGAATTTTCCCTCTGTGAGACTTGTGACTGATGATCTGTTTAGCGTTATGTTAATTGGATCATTTGCAGCTTTGTTTCCAAACTGAATGAAATAGGTTTTATCAGTATTCAGGGTAAGTTTACTAGTCATCATCCAGGCAGATATTTTCTGCAATTCGGCATTGACTCTGTTTGCTAGTATGACTGTGTTTGGGTGGGAAAAGACATATGTAGTGTCATCTGCAAATAATATGGGTTTGAGTAGCTGTGATGCATTCGGTAGATCACTGATGTAGATGAGAAAGAGGAGTGGTCCAAGGACACTTCCTTGTGAGACTCCTACTGTGATTGGTTGGGTGGAAGAGTTTGCATCATTTGCATACACATATTGAGTTCTGTTACTAGGGTATGATTTTAGGTAGTTGAGGGAGTGGCCTCTGATACCATTGTGCGTTAATTTGGAGTACAGCAGTTCATGGTCGACTGTATCGAAAGCTTTACATAAATCAATGAAAATGCCCAGCAGGACTTCTTTCTTTTCGAGTGCGGTATATATTAGTTCTAGCATCATTTGTGCTTTTATTATTCCTGAATCCAAACTGACAAGGGTTTAATATGTTGTGTGAGACGAGGTAGGAATAGATCCATCTATGAATTAATTTTTCAAAGATTTTAGAGAGCAGTGGTAAGTTAGATATTGGTCTATAGTTATTCAAGTCAGCTTGGTCACCTCCTTCATGGATCGGAGTGACCCTCGCTATTTTGAGGATTGTTGGGAAGGTAGATGATTCAATGGATTTGTTAAAGAGCGTTGCAATAATTGGTGACAATACTTGAGAAGCTTTTTTGTACATAAAAGCAGGCAAGTTGTTTATGTCTCCTGCCTTGCTTTTAAGGGTGTTTATGATGAGCATAACTTCTATGGGGTTGGTTGGAGCTAGGAATAGCGTATTTGGGTAGGTACCTATGAGGTAGTCTGATGGATGGGTGTTTGTGCTTGGTATTTTGTTCACTAGATTTTTTCCTATGGTGGAGAAGAAAACATTGAGTCTGTTTGCTGTTTCAGTAGGTGTGAGTAGGGGTTCATCTGATTTTGTTAGTTTGTTTTGTTTTGTTTTTGGATAACTTTTTAGTTCCAAGAGTTTCAGACAGAGTTTTCCAGGTTTTTTTCATGTCACCTTTGATGTTATGTAATCTGTTTTCATAATAAATTTTTTTAGATCTTCTTATCAGGCTGGTAAGTGCTATAGTGGATGGATGGAGGGGTAGGGGTTACCCTAGGAAAAGATGGAGGGAGAGGATAAAAGAGGTTTTGTGTGCAAGGGACTTGAACATACAGCATGTCTATGTTAGATAGGAATGAATGGAGATGAATGGTTTTGGGGACTTGACGAGCTGTTTGAGTGTGAGCAAAGTAATATTTTGTGAAGGGATTCAGAGAAACTGATTAGCCAGACTTGAGTCCTGGAGGTGGAAGGTACAATGCCTGCACTTTAAAGGAGGAGTTTCGGATATTGACTGTTTGGAGTAACATCTGAACTGTTGTATCTGAGTATCTCTGCAGAGACTGATGGTGAAAGTTTCTTTCTTTTTTGGGTCACCCTGCCTCAGTGGGAGATGGCCAGCGTGTTAAAAAACAAATCTTTAACGCCTTTATATACAAACACGTAAAACGTTTGATGTTCATTTAAGCTTTTCTTTTCTTTTTCTCAACACGTCGGTCGTTTCCCACTGAGGCAGGGTGACCCAAAAAGAAAATCCCCAAAAAGAAAAACACTTTCATCATTCAACACTTTCACTTCACTCATACATAATCAGTGTCTTTGCAGAGGTGCTCAGATACAACAGTTTAGAAGTCCCTCCAATTGCCAATATCCCAAACCCCTCCTTTAAAGTGTAAGCACTGTACTTTAAAGGAGGGGTTTGGGATATTGGCAGTTGGAGGGACTTCTAAACTGTCGTATCTGAGTGCCTCTGCAAAGACAGTGATTATGTATGAGGTGAAAATGATGAATGATAAAAGTTTTTCTTTTTGGGGATTTTCTTGTCATGTACACTGTTATTTAGTTGTAATCACATGGAAATAATTACTTTGAATTTTAATTTAATCAAGTACAGGTTGGCATAAGTATTAACCCTTTCAGAGTTTCAGATGTACTAGTACGGCTTACGCACCAGGGTTTTTGATGTACTAGTACGCCTAAATTCTAGCACCCTCAAATCTAGTGAGAGAAAGCTGGTAGGCCTACATATGAAAGAATGGGTCTATGTGGTCAGTGTGTGCAGTATAAAAAAAAAAATCCTGCAGCACACTGTGCGTAATGAGAAAAAGAAAACTCCGACCATGTTTTTGGATTAAAACAGCAACTTTGCACTGTAATAGAATGGAAGACATATTACAGAAATTGAGATGATTTTGACTGGTTTTACAATGAAAAGTACCTTGAAACTGAGCTCAAAGTAGCAGAATGTTCGATTTTTACCAAAGTTCAAAAGTAAACAAATCATGCTACACGTCCAATACACGTCAACTGGTGAGTCTAATATTCTTTCACAAGTGCGCTTATATTATTTATACCATTTCTACACTAATGCAGTAGTCTGCATAACAGTAAATCTTCTATTTTTTTTGTGAGAATAAAAATTCAAAGTGGAAAGCAAAAGAATGTAAGAGGGGTGTGGGGCCATGACTAATGAGCAGAGGAAATGTTATTTTAGTGCCAGGAATATCTGTCTTGTTTATTCTGGACCCTGTTTGGAAATTGGCATCTTTTGAAATTTGTGTGAAATTGGCAAAACTGCAAAATTCTGACCACTTTATTGGATAGTTGAAATCGGTAAATGGGTGGTTTCGTGTACTCATTCGATAGAAAAAATGGAGTTCTAGTGAAATAGTTATGATTTCTGTCGACTAGCACACTGGAATTGGCTGAAAATAGGGCTCAAAGTGGGCAAAATCGCCGCTGCGTAAACATCGTCGAGACCACTAACTTCGCAAGAGCATAATTTCATAAGTTTTCCATCAAATTTCATACTTTTGGTGTCATTATGATTGGGAAAAGATTATTGTTTCATAAGAAAAATTAATTTTTTTTTTTTTTGAAAATTTGGCGACCTTGAGAACAAGTCGCAGAGAGGGCCTGGCGACCCTGAAAGGGTTAATACAGTACACTAATGTAATTTTTTTTTTAACACGCCAACCATCTCCCACCGAGGTTGGGTGACCCCAAAAAGAAAGAAACACTTTCACCATCATGCACATAATCACTGTCTTTGCAGAGGTACCCAGATATGACAATTTAGATGTTTTTCCAAACAGCCAATATCCCAAAACCCCTCCTTTAAAGGGCAGGCACTGTACTTCCCACCTCCAGGACTCAAGTCCGGCTAACTGTTTTCCCTGAATCCCTTCACAAAATATTACCCAGCTCACACTCCAACACCTCATCAGGTTCCAAAAACCATTCATCTCCATTCACTCCTATTCAACACGTTCACATGTGCCTGCTGCATGTCCTGGCCCCTTGTACACAAAACCTCTTTTACCCCCCTCCCTCCATCCTTTTGTAGGACAACCCCTACCCCTCCTCCCCTCCACTACAGATTTATACACCCTCCAAGTCATTCTATTAAACTCCATCTCAATAACCCCTCTTCAGCCCTCTGAATAATACTTTTTGTAACTCCACACTTAATTTCCACACTACAAATCTGTTAAAATTTTATGCCAATGCTTAATCTTTAAGAGTAAATACAAAATACCTAAACCCAAGGATGTAAGAATTGGAAAAAGCAATTTGGTTATGAATGCTGCAAAAATGTAATGAAGGCCAGAGATTTCACCATAAATTTTACTATATAAAACTAAAAAAATAACTTTCTATGAAGTTAATTCATCATGAGATTTGGGCAGTGGATTACTCTGTCACCCTGCTTATGCAAGATTGAAAGTCACAGCAGAGTGGCAATGGGAGCTTCCAGCTACTTTCCTCCCACTCAAATAAATACTGTAACATGTTCTTCTTAAAATCTGAAATATAACATTTATTTTATATTAAGCCACACTCGAAGAAATTTATTAATTTATTAACAGATTACTGTGAAATAATTTATCATAAGATCTGGGCAGAATGGGTCTGGATAAATAGTAAGGGAGAAACAAAATATTACTGCAAAGTACACATTAAGTAATTCCATTTGCCCCCTTTTTTTTTTTTGCCAGTGTCAAAACATTGAACATTTGTTTTTATTAAGTAATTGTCTTCTTATTAGCCTTTGCACCACTGCAAGCCTTATCACTGACTTAAAATATGAAATGCAAACTATAATAGAGTATAAGCAGAAATGTGCATGGACTTCTCAAGTGGCTCATGAATGACATCAAAATAAAAGCTCTTAGGCAGTCTACATGTTTACCATCAAACTTGCAAATTAACTTTTGGAAATAGATTTAACCTTGCCAAAAAGGTCAAGTGATAGCACATGTTTGAGCCTGGGTGATACTAATGACATAACTTAAGTAGTCTGTTAATAGCTTCTTTACTTTGCTAAATGAAATCATGCCTTAATTCATACTATCAATGCAAATGTTTGTGAAATGTTCTTTTGTTAAACAAGGCCTGCCTGTATTACCTAAAGGGTAGATGGTAAGTTTAACAGTGCTAATTTCACTCTGTTTAAATGTCATTTATGAAATATTACAGTATTTTCAAGATTTTTACATTGGTATATGACAAATGAAAAAATGAAGGGAATGTTAAGCATGCTTTATGAATAAGGAAATAAAATTAATTTGCTTTCTTTCCTCAAGAGCCTTGCAGTATAGGAATCTTCACATCCAAAGTATACTTACTTCAAAGGGATCAGCAACATCTTCTCCAGCAGCTTGTAAGGTCTGAGCCATACTAGCTAAGCCAGCTGGACCATTGTCCATTATAGCTGTGTAAGCTTCACCATGTGCTAAAACACAGTGACCAGTGAGGGTTGCAATAGTCATCAAATATGGATTAACCTGCCAATTAAAAATCATATGCACTTTAAGTTTTTGCACCCATTAATGTCTGCAACCCCAGCTTTCATTTTATGATGCTCAGATGCAAAGTCAAATCAAATTCAATAAAAATCATTCTGCATATTGCCAAATACAAGGTTTGACAAACTTCCAAGAATAAATATCCTATGCTGGTATATAAATACTACAGATCACAATTTTTTTTTTTAACAAGTCGGCCATCTCCCACCGACGTAGGGTGACCCAAAAAAGAAAGAAAACCCCAAAAAGAAAATATTTTCATCATCATTCAACACTTTCATCTCACTTACACATAAACACTGTTTTTGCAGAGGTGCTCAGAACACAACAGTTTAGAAGCATATACGTATAAAGATATACAACATAACCCTCCAAACTGCTAATATCCCGAACCCCTCCTTTAGAGTGCAGGCATTGTACTTCCCATTTCCAGGACTCAAGTCCGGCTATATAAAAATAACCTGTTTCCCTGAATCCCTTCACTAAATATTACCCTGCTCACACTCCAACAGATCGTCAGGTCCCAAATACCGTTCGTCTCCATTCACTCCTGTCGAACACGCTCATGCACGCCTGTTGGAAGTCCAAGCCCCTTGCCCACAAAACCTCCCTTACCCCTTCCTTCTAACCTTTTCGAGGACGACCCTTACCCCGCCTTCCTTCCCCTACAGATTTATACGCTCTCCATGTCATTCTACTTTGATCCATTCTCACTAAATGACCAAACCACCTCGACAACCCCTCTTCAGCCCTCTGACTAATACTTTTATTAACTCCACAACTTCTCCTAATTACTTCTTTTACACCATTTATAAATATATTAAACCAACATGATGACATTACACATCCCTGTCTAAGACCTACTTTTACTAGGAAGTAGTCTCCCTCTCTTCTACACACCCTAACCTGACCCTCACTATCCTCATAAAAACTCTTTACAGCATTTAGTAACTTACCACCTATTCCATATACTTGCAACATCTGCCACATTGCTCCCCTATCCACTCTATCATATGCCTTTTCTAAATCAATAAATGCAATAAAAACTTCCCTACCTTCATCTAAATACTGTTCACACATATATGCTTCACTGTAAACACTTGATCTACACATCCCCTACCCAGTCTGAAACCTCCTTGCTCATCCACAATCCTATATTCTGTCTTACCTCTAATTCTTTCAATTATAACCCTACAGAACACTTTTCCTGGTATACTCAGTAAACTTATTCCTCTATAATTTTTACAATCTCTTTCATCCCCCTTCCCTTTATATAAAGGGACTATACATGCTCTCTGCCAATCCCTAGGTACCTTCCCCTCTTTCATACATTTATTAAACAAAAATACCAACAACTCCAACACTATATCCTCCCCTGCTTTTAACATTTCTGTCATGATCCTGTCAGTTCCATCTGCTTTACCCCCTTCATTCTACGTAATGCCTCACGTACCTCCCCCACACTCACATCCTGTTCTTCTTCACTCCTGAAGATGGTATACCTCCCTGGCCAGTGCATGAAATTACCGCTTCCCTTTCTTCATCGACATTTAAAAGTTCCTCGAAATATTCTCACCATCTACCCAAAACCTCCATCTCCCCAACTACTAACTCCCCTACTCTATTTTCAACTGACAAATCCATTCGTTCTCTAGGCTTTCTTAACTTGTTTAACTCACTCCAAATTTTTTTCTTATTTTCATTAAAATTTCTTGACAGTGCCTCTCCCACTCTATCATCTGCTCTCCTTTTGCACTCTCTCACCACTCTCTTCACCTTTCTTTTACTCTGCATATAACACTTCAGCTTTGTAAAAACCTCTCATAAGCTAACTTTCTCTCTTTTATCACACCCTTTACTTCATCATTCCACCAATCACTCCTCTTTCCTCCTGCACCCACCCTCCTATAACCACAAACTTCTGCCCCACATTCTAATACTGCATTTTTAAAACTATTCCAACCCTCTTCAACCCCCCCCCCCCACTACTCATACTTGCACCAGCCCACCTTTCTGCCAATAGTTGCTTATATCTCGCCCCAACTTCCTTCTCCCTTGGTTTATACACTTTCACCTCCCTCTTGCTTAGTGTTTCCATTTTCCTCTTTTCCCATCTACCTCTTACTCTAACTGTAGCTACAACTAAATAATGATCCGATATATCAGTTGCCCCTCTATAAACGTGTACATCCTGGAGCCTACCCATCAACCTTTTATCCACCAATACATAATCTAACAAACTACTTTCATTACGTGCTATATCATACCTTGTATATTTATTAATCCTCTTCTTCATAAAGTATGTATTACTTATTACCAAACATCTTTCTACACATAGCTCAATTAAAGGCTCCCCATTTACATTTACCCCTGGCACCCCAAATTTACCTACTACTCCCTCCACAACATTTTTACCCACTTTAGCATTGAAATCCCCAACCACAAGTACTCTCACACTTGGTTCAAAACTCCCCAAGCATTCACTCAACATTTCCCAAAATCTCTCTCTCTCCTCTACACTTCTCTCTTCTCCAGGTGCATATACACTTACTATAACCCACTTTTCACATCCAACCTTTATTTTACTCCACATAATCCTTGAATTAATACATTTATAGTCCCTCTTTTCCTGCCATATTTTATCCTTCAACATTATTGCTACTCCTTCTTTAGCTCTAACTCTATTTGAAACCCCTGACCTAATCCCATTTATTCCTCTCCACTGAAACTCTCCTACCTCCTTCATCTTTGTTTCACTTAAAGCCAGGACATCCAGCTTCTTCTCATTCATAAAATCCACAATCATCTCTTTCTTATCATTTGCACAACATCCACGCACATTCAGACTTCCCACTTTGACAATTTTCTTCTCATTCTTTTTAGTAATTATTACAGGAAAAGGGGTTACTAGCCCATTGTTCCCAGCATTTTAGTTGACTTTTACAAATATACATTATCTGAATGCATGCCTGGCATCTCAGGACTCATCCTTCCATAAATATTCCATTATCTCTTCAGCACTGCATAGCAGGTAGATCCATATGATTTTCACAGTGCTGTATGACCTTTGTGGGTTTACTGCTTAGTTTTGATGATAATAATGAATGATTTTCAAAACAACCATTTGATTATTCAATGCTTTTAACCTAAATTCTTGGTTGAACGCTTGTGGCTTGCTGTAACAAACATGGTACATCATACACCATACAAATAGCTATGCACTTCCACCTACAATAAGAGATGATATAACACCCTTTGAACTGATAACTTATTTTTGTGTCCAGAAACACCAAATGTGTTAAATTACAAATGTGAAACATCATTAACATGACTATAATATAATGCATACTGTTTATTTCAACTTATTATTTACCTCTTTTAAAAAATACATACAGAAGTAGAAAAAAATCTATGGCAAGACTTTAATGAATACTCTCATAATGATATTTCATACTGTTAGTTGGCTATAAAACACTATGCCCAAGTTCAAAGTGGCCAGGAAAATTACTGGTGGGGCATACTGTAAAAGCATAGAGACCCCTCAAGGGATGGTTCTTGCTACTGGTGAGGGGCTCTTGATCTGGGGAATTGGGTCTGTCCTCCAATTCCCCGAATTAACCCTGAATGTCTATATAATTCCTATGAAATCATACCATAGGTGGGGTTTGAACCAGCGGTCAGAGAGTCTCAAAACTCCAGACCGTCGCATTAGCCACTGCGTCAGCTAGCTTCAACAAGATTCGTCCATCTAAGTATATTTCTACACCATAGGAAGGTTAGCATAGGCACCACTGTGTCCACAAATGCAAGTTTTTACAGACCAGATGATTGTGGATGTTATGAATGAAAAGAAGCTGGATGTCCTGGCTTTAAGTGAAATAAAACTGAAGGGGGTGGGAGAGTTTCAGTGGAGAGGAATAAATGGGATTAGGACAGGGGTTTCAAATAGAGTTAGAGCTAAAGGAGTAGCAATAATGTTGAAGGATAAGCCAAGGCAGGAAAAGAAGGATTATAAATGTATTAATTCAAGGATTATGTGGAGTAAAATAAAGGTTGGATGTGAAAAGTGGGTTATAGTAAGTGTATATGCACCTGGAGAAGAGAGAAGTGTAGAGGGGAAATGGAGAGATTTTGGGAAATGTTGAGTGAATGTGTGGGGAGTTTTGAACCAAGTGTGAGAGTACTTGTGGTTGGGGATTTTAATGCTAAAGAGGGAAAAAATGTTGTGGAGGATATAGTAGGTAAATTTGGGGTGCTAGGGGTAAATGAAAATGGGGAGCCTTTATTTGAGCTATGTGTAGAAAGATGTTTGGTAATAAGTAATACATATTTTATGAAGAAGAGGATAAATAAATATACAAGGCATGATATAGCACGTAATGAAAGTACAGTAGTTAGATTATGTATTGGTGGATAAAAGGTTGATGGGTAAGCTCCAGGAAGTGCACGTTTATAGAGGGTCAACTGATACATTGGATCATTATTTAGTTGTAGCTACAGTTAGAGTAAGAGGTATATAGGACAAGAGGAAAATGACAACAAGTAAGAAGGATGTGGAAGTTCGGGTGAGATATAAGCAACTATTGGCAGTAATGTGGGCTGGTGCAAGTATGAGTAGTGGAAGGGTTGAAGAGGGCTGGAATAGTTTTGAAAATGCAGTATTAGAATGTGGGGCAGAAGTTTGTGGTTATAGGAGGGTGGGTGCAGGAGGAAAGAGGAGTGATTGGTGGAATGATGAAGTAAAGGGTGTGATAAAAAAGAAAAAGGTAGCTTATGAGAGGTTTTTACAAAGGAGAAGTGTTATACAAAGAGTAGAGTACATGGAGAGTAAATGAAAGGTGAAGAGAGTGATGAGAGAGTGCAAAGGGAGAGCAGATGATAGTGTGGGAGAGACACTGTCAAGAAATTTTAATGAAAATAAGAACAAATTTTGGAGTGAGTTAAACAAGTTAAGAAAGCCTAGGGAACGAATACATATGTCAGTTAAAAACATAGTAGGACAGTGGATGGGGAGATGGAGGTATTGGGTAGATGGCGAGAATATTTTGAGGAACTTTTAAATGTTGATGAAGAAAGGGAGGCGGTAATTTCATGCACTGGCCAGGGAGGTATACAATCTTGTAGGAGTGAAGAAGAGCAGGATGTGAGTGTGGGGGAGGTGTGTGAGGCATTAGGTACAATGAAAGGGGGCAAAGCAGCTGGAACTGATGGGATCATGACAGAAATGTTAAGAGCAGGGGGAAGGGGATATAGTGTTGGAGTGGTTGGTATTTTTGTTTAAACCTTAAACTATCCAAACGTAGATCTAATTTTTTTTCAACATTTGAAAGTATGTAAAAAAATGTAGAGCTTCTTTTTCTTTTTTTACATTTGAAAACTTGTAAAAAACTTTGATCTACTTTTTTTTTTATATTTGAAAATATATTTGAAAGTATGTTAAAAAAACGTAGATCTACTTTTGGACGTAGATCTACTTTTGGAGCACTACGCATGTGAACATAGATCTGTTTGGACAGTTTAAGGGTTAATAAATGTATGAAAGAGGGGAAGGTACCTAGGGACTGGCAGAGAGCATGTATAGTCCCTTTATATAAAGGGAAGGGGGACAACAGAGATTGTAAAAATTATAGAGGAATAAGTTTACTGAGTATACCAGGAAAAGTGTATGGTAGGATTATTATTGAAAGAATTAGAGGTAAGAGAGAGTAGGATTGTGGATGACCAAGGAGGCTTTAGAATGGGTAGCAGATGTGTAGATGAAGTATTTACACTGAAGCATATATGTGAACAGTATTTGGATAAAGGTGGGGAAGTTTTTATTGCATTTATGGATTTAGAAAAGGCATATGATAGAGTGGATAGGGGAGCAATGTGGCAGATGTTGCAAGTATATGGAATAGGTGCTAAGTTACTAAATGCTGTAAGTAGTTTTTATGAAGATAGTGAGGCTCAGGTTAGGGTGTGTAGAAGAGAGGGAGACTACTTTCCGGTAAAAGTAGGTCTTAGACAGGGATGTGTAATGTCACCATGGTTGTTTAATATATTTATAGATGGGGTTGTATAAGAAGTAAATGCTAGGGTGTTAGGGAGAGGGGTGGGATTAAATTATGGGTAATCAAATACAAAATGGTAATTGACACAGTTACTTTTTGCTGATGATACTGTGCTTATGGGAGATTCTGAAGAAAAATTGCAAAGGTTAGTGGATGAGTTTGGGAGTGTGTGTAAAGGTAGAAAATTGAAAGTGAACATAGAAAAGAGTAAGGTGATGAGGGTATCAAATGATTTAGATAAAGAAAAGTTGGATATCAAATTGGGGAGGAGGAGTATGGAAGAAGTGAATATTTTATTTTTATTATCACACTGGCCGATTCCCACCAAGGCAGGGTGGCCCGAAAAAGAAAAACTTTCACCATCATTCACTCCATCACTGTCTTGCCAGAAGGGTGCTTTACACTACAGTTTTTAAACTGCAACATTAACACCCCTCCTTCAGAGTGCAGGCACTGTACTTCCCATCTCCAGGACTCAAGTCCGGCCTGCCGGTTTCCCTGAACCCCTTCATAAATGTTACTTTGCTCACACTCCAACAGCACATCAAGTATTAAAAACCATTTGTCTCCATTCACTCCTATCAAACACGCTCATGCATACCTGCTGGAAGTCCAAGCCCCTCGCACACAAAACCTCCTTTATACCCCCTCTCTCCAACCTTTCCTAGGCCGACCCCTACCCCGCCTTCCTTCCACTACAGACTGATACACTCTTGAAGTCATTCTGTTTCGCTCCATTCTCTCTACATGTCCGAACCACCTCAACAACCCTTCCTCAGCCCTCTGGACAACAGTTTTGGTAATCCCGCACCTCCTCCTAACTTCCAAACTACGAATTCTCTGCATTATATTCACACCACACATTGCCCTCAGACATGACATCTCCACTGCCTCCAGCCTTCTCCTCGCTGCAACATTCATCACCCATGCTTCACACCCATATAAGAGCGTTGGTAAAACTATACTCTCATACATTCCCCTCTTTGCCTCCAAGGACAAAGTTCTTTGTCTCCACAGACTCCTAAGTGCACCACTCACTCTTTTTCCCTCATCAATTCTATGATTCACCTCATCTTTCATAGACCCATCCGCTGACACGTCCACTCCCAAATATCTGAATACATTCACCTCCTCCATACTCTCTCCCTCCAATCTGATATCAATCTTTCATCACCTAATCTTTTTGTTATCCTCATAACCTTACTCTTTCCTGTATTCACCTTTAATTTTCTTCTTTTGCACACCCTACCAAATTCATCCACCAATCTCTGCAACTTCTCTTCAGAATCTCCCAAGAGCACAGTGTCATCAGCAAAGAGCAGCTGTGACAACTCCCACTTTGTGTGTGATTCTTTATCTTTTAACTCCACGCCTCTTGTCAAGACCCTCGCATTTACTTCTCTTACAACCCCATCTATAAATATATTAAACAACCACGGTGACATCACACATCCTTGTCTAAGGCCTACTTTTACTGGGAAATAATTTCCCTCTTTCCTACATACTCTAACTTGAGCCTCACTAACCTCGTAAAAACTCTTCACTGCTTTCAGTAACCTACCTCCTACACCATACACTGCAACATCTGCCACATTGCCCCCCTATCCACCCTGTCATACGCCTTTTTCCAAATCCATAAATGCCACAAAGACCTCTTTAGCCTTATCTAAATACTGTTCACTTATATGTTTCACTGTAAACACCTGGTCCACACACCCCCTACCTTTCCTAAAGCCTCCTTGTTCATCTGCTATCCTATTCTCCGTCTTACTCTTAATTCTTTCAATAATAACTCTACCATACACTTTACCAGGTATACTCAGCAGACTTATCCCCCTATAATTTTTGCACTCTCTTTTATCCCCTTTGCCTTTATACAAAGGAACTATGCATGCTCTCTGCCAATCCCTAGGTACCTTACCCTCTTCCATACATTTATTAAATAATTGCACCAACCACTCCAAAACTATATCCCCACCTGCTTTTAACATTTCTATCTTTATCCCATCAATCCCGGCTGCCTTACCCCCTTTCATTTTACCTACTGAATGTTTTCAGATATTTGGGAGTTGACGTGTCAGTGGATGGATTTATAAAGGATGAGGTTAATCATAGAATTGATGAAGGAAAAAAGGTGAGTGGTGCATTGAGGTATATGTGGAGACAAAAAAACGTTATCTATGGAGGCAAAGAAGGGAATGTATGAAAGTATAGTAGTACCAACACTCTTATATGGTTGTGAAGCTTGGGTTGTAAATGCCGCAGCGAGGAGGTGGTTGGAGGCACTGGAGATGTCCTGTCTAAGGGCAATGTGTGGTGTGAATGTTATGCAGAAAATTTGGAGTGTGGAAATTAGGAGAATGTGTGGAGTTAATAAAAGTATTAGTCAGAGGGCTGAAGAGGGGTTGTTGAGGTGGTTTGGTCATTTAGAGAGAATGGATCAAAGTAGAATGACATGGAGAGCGTATAAATCTGTAGGGGAAGGAAGGCGGGGTAAGGGTCGTCCTCGAAAAGGTTGGAGGGAGGGGGTAAAGGAGGTTTTGTGGGCGAAGGGCTTGAACTTCCAGCAAGCGTGCATGAGCATGTTAGATAGGAGTGAATGGAGACGAATGGTATTTGGGACCTGACGAGTTGCTGGAGTGTGAGCAGGGTAATATTTAGTGAAGGGATTCAGAGAAACCGGTTATTTTTATATAGCTGGACTTGAGTCCTGGAAATGGGAAGTACAATGCCTGCACTTTAAAGGTGGGGTTTGGGATATGGGCAGTTTGGAAGGATATGTTGTGTATCTTTATACGTATATGCTTCTAAACTGTTGTATTCTGAGCACCTCTGCAAAAACAATGATTATGTATGAGTGAGGTGAAAGTGTTGAATGATGATGAAAGTATTTTCTTTTTGGGGATTTTCTTTCTTTTTGGGTCACCCTCCCTAGGTGGGAGATGGCCGACTTGTTAAAAAAAAAAAAAAAAAAAAGTGCTCCTTTGAAAACATGACAGTACATATGTTATTACACTATGCTCTCATCACAAAAATGTGTTAAACGTATGTGAATAATACAATGTTACAGTACGATCACTGTCTAGTACATCTAAATATCTACCCATCGTCTCCTTTAATCTCCCCCATTTGCTATTCTATCTCAAAATAAATGTCTCACCTGGTTCAGAATTAACTGAACACTGACTTAACACCTCCCAGAATCTCTTTTATGCATTCATCTCACATCCAGAGGCAAGCACTAATTCTGTTATCTACACATTTTTCTAATTAAAAGCTCACACCCCTTTCCTTTCTACAGTTAATTCAACACTGTTGCCTCTTTTAGCTATTAGTCTCTCAGGTACACCAGAACTAATTACTGTTACATCCCATTGAGTTCTGCTGACCCTTTTAACTTTGTTTCACTTCATGTCAAGATTATTTCAGAATATTCATCAATAACATCAATTCAAGGATACAGCACATGAATTTTTTACTTACTTCTTTGTAGGCCATTTCCTTCATATGGCATAACACATCAGACATTGCCATTCGACCTTCTGCATCAGTGTTACCAACTCGTACACGTACACCAGCACGTGAAGTTATGATTTCATCTGATACATAGCAATCTGATCCAACGCTGTTTCGTACCATAGCCATAGAACCAATCACCTGAAGTAAGATAAATGAAGTTCAATGAAAATTAACTAGCATGTCTTCTACACTTTAGGTTAAAAAGGCAAACTTGTACTGTGTACCTTCATCAATTCCCAATTATGCCCAAGCAATCCTTCTTAAATATGCCATTTAAACTTAATTCCAAAACCCTAAGCCCTATGTAAATCTTAGCAATAATGAGTGTAAATTTGTTGGTTATCATCCAAGTAGGTATCTCTTTGAACCTGTCATTAACCCTTTCAGGGTCCGTCCCGTAGATCTATGGCTTTACGTTCAGGGTCCAAACCGTAGATCTACGCCATGAGCTCAGCTCACTCTGATAAACTGTGAGTGGTACATTTGGGCCTAGATATGAGAGAATACATCTATGTGGTATGTGTGCACCACATAAAACAGATCCTGCAGCAAACTGTGTATAATGAGAGAAAAAAAATGAAATCATGATTTTTCGATTAAAACAGCAACTTTGCAGTGTTTTTTCATATGTTTTTTATAGATGTATTTGCGATTTCTTGGTCTCATTTGATAGAATGGAAGACATATTACAGAAATAGAGATGATTTTGATTGGTTTTAGCAATGGAAATGGCTTGAAACTGAGCTCAAAGTAGCGGAAATGTTAAATTTTTGCCGATATTCAAGAGTAAACAAACGACCTCACACGTCTAATACACGTCAGCTGGTGGGTCTAATATACATTCACAAATATGGTGATGATATTTATACAATTATTACAGTATTGCATAACAGTAAATCTTCTATTTTTTAGTGTGAATAAAAATTCATTATGTGAATAAAAAATCAAAATGGAATTTATTTGTAAAGCCTCAAAACATAACTAATGAACAGAGGAAATGTTAGTTTAGTGCCAGGAATGCCTACATTGTTCATTCTGGACCCTATTTTGAAATTGGAATATTTTGAACTTTGTGTTAAATTGGCCAAATTAACAATTTCCGATCACTTTATTTTGTAGTTGAAACAGTTGACTTGGCGATTTCTTGTGCTCAATCGATAGAATAGAAGTAATACTAGTGAAATAGCTAAGAATTTGGTTGATTGGAATAATGTAATTGGCCTAAAGTGGGAGTCAAAGTTGGCCAAATCGCCGATTCGTAAATATCGCTGACACATCAAAATTCGCGAGAGCATAATTTCGTAAATTTTCCACCAAATTTCATACTTTTTGTTTTATTACCTTCACAAAAAGATTCTCTACGATTTCATAAGAAAAAATAACAAATTTTTTTTTTGAAAATTCTTGGACACTGGTGCGTGACTCCAGATTTGGGCCTTGGACCCTGAAAGGGTTAACAGTGTGGGCGAGGGCAGATTCTAAAAAAAAATTGCAAAGGTTAGTGGATGAGTTTGGGAGGGTGTGTAAAGGTAGAAAGCTGAAAGTAAACATAGATAAGAGTAAGGTGATGAGAGTATCAAACGATTTAGATAAAGAAAAACTGGATATCACGTTGCAGAGAGGGAGCATGGAAGAAGTGAATGTTTTCAGATATTTGGGAGTTGACTTGTCAGCGGATGGGTTTATGAAGGATGAAGTTAACCATAGAATTGATGAAGGAAAAAAGGTGAATGGTGCATTGAGGTATCTGTGGAGACAAAACACATTATCTATGGACGCAAAGAAGGGAATGTACGAAAGTATAGTGGTACCACCACTCTTATATGGGTGTGAAGCTTGGGTTGCAAATGCTGTAGCGAGGAGGCGGCTGGAGGCAGTGGAGATGTCCTGTCTAAGGGCAATGTGTGGTGTAAATATTATGCAGAGAATTCGGAGTGTGGAAATTAGGAGGTGTGGAGTTAAAAGTATTAGTCAGAGGGCTGAAGAGGGGTTGTTGAGGTGGTTTGGTCATTTAGAGAGAACGGATCAAAGTAGAATGACTGGGAGAGTGTATAAGTCTGTAGAGGAAGGCAGGGAAGGGGTCGTCCTTGACAAGGTTGGAGGGAGGGGGTAAAGAAATTTTTGTGGGCGAGGGACTTGGACTTCCAGCAAGTATGTGTGAGCGTATTAGATAGGAGTGAATGGAGACAAATGGTTTTTGGGACCTGACGAGCTGTTGGAGTGTGAGCACGGTAATATTTAGTGAAGGGATTCAGGGAAACAGGTTATTTTTATATAGCTGGACTTGAGTCCTGGAAATGGGAAGTACAATGCCTGCAATTTAAAGGAGGGGTTTGGGATATTGGCAGTTTGGAGGTTGACTTTTAAACTGTCATATCTGAGCGCCTCTGCAAAGACAGTGATTGTGTATGAGTGAGGCAAAAATGTTGGATGATGATGAAGGTATTTTCCCTTTGGGGATTTTCTTTCTTTTTGGGTCACCCTGCCTCGGTGGGAGACGACCGACGTGTTAAAAAAAAAAAAAGATATTCATGAGGAAGAGCTAAACCTGTAGAGATCATACATCACTTACGAAAATGGGATGCATTCAAGTTTGATTCAAGGAAGGGGAAGACAGGTCTGATTCCTTCAGTGCCAAGGAACCTCCCTTGAGGGAAGAGTTCCTGGAAAGCATTAGGTAGGTCATTTATATTAAAGATTCTTTATTTCTGCATGATACAATGTTCGTACAGAGGTAGGTGACGTTTAGGTGTGAATGCAGAAAGCCCCTAGTATGCAGAGCATTTTTGGCAAACTTAAGCCTATCTTAAGACTAATAAGGCAATAATTAATTGATTACTTGTATATACAGTCTCAAAGTGGAATGACAATGAACACTTTTATCACGTTTGTTTTAAGGATTGCAGGTTGGCTTATGATTACAGGTAATGAGAAATAATACTGGATCTAGGACATTGCCCTGTAGCATGTGAGAGAATTGCCTCCGATTCTATAATAATGTTCTAGTTTAAACAACAGAATGTGGTGATCTACTGTATCAAACGCTATCTTATTATTGCATCATTTGTACTAACAATATACAGTGGAACCTTGACTTTCGAGTGTCCCAACGTATGAATTTTTTGAGATACGAGCTGTCACTGGGTTGATTTTTTGCTCTGAGTTATGAGTCAACATCCAAGTTACAAGCCAGCTCCCCCCACTTCCCCCTCAACCCAAAACCTGCACACCTTGCATGTTTATCTATGATTTCATGCTTTAATTCCATGGAAATCATCCTCTTTTTCTTCTCCGTACTGTCCTTTACACTTACTTTCTTAGGACCCATGCTTAGAAAAATGAAATTTGCCCAAATGACTGTAAAAAATGTAAGCAAAGCATGAAAGAAATACTCCCACACCAAGATAAACAGGGCGCTGAGTTGGTGGCGTTCTCAAGCTCTCGTCATTATTATTATTCTTACATATGTATTATTATTATTATAACAATAATAATATAATAATAAGTGAGCTTCAGTTCCCTAAATTAATAATAATAATAATAATAATAATAATAATAATAATAATACGTAATAATAATAATAATAATAATAATAATAATAATAATAATAATAATAATAATAATAATAATAATAATAATAATAATACATACATAATACGTAATAATTATTCAGAATGCTGCCACTAGATAGCGCAGCTGATGGCAAAACATCCGGTGAGGAGTCCGCATGTTTACATCGCCGAGGGAGCAGTTCTCTCATGCCTGCTTGCATTTTTTGACAGTTATTTGGCAAAATTTATGTTTTCTAACCATGGATTCTAAGAAAACAAGTGCAAATGACAGTGCTGAGAAGAAAAAGAGGATGATTTCCATGAAATTAAAGCAAATTGTATCAGTTAAGTTCAGCGATCAAACAAAACAAATTGTATCAGTTAAGTTCAGTGATAAAGTAGCATTAAGAGTGTAGCAAGTTAGTTAAGTGATTAAGTGATAGAAAAAGGTTGAAATACGGACGCTGCCGCCACTTCCGATACCATCATCGCTCATCATATTATGGCCTATTTTATTCATTCTAGAGTACAGGAGGGCCCTGCTTTACGGCGTTTCACTTTACAGCGTTCCGCTAATATGGTCATTTCAAATTATGACCAAAGCTCGCTATACGGCTCCCCCCACCTGACTTTCTAATACGGTCACCATGCCCCACCCTGTTTGTTTACATTCTTCGTGAGCTCAGTAAGCACTAAGTCTCTCCATTTTGTCTGGAAACTCCAAAATTTCAAATGTTTTTAAAAGTTATTTCATATTTTATATATACTCTGATAATTATACTTATGTATACCTGTACCTAAATAAACTTACATACTGTGCTGGCATGCAGGTACACATTAAAATCGGTAAGTGTCTTATGTCTCCAGACGTCATATTAGTAATGATAATAATAATCATCGAGTCATTTAAATGTCGTATATTACGTTAATATACACATTTTCATTAATCCATCTATGATATTTTTTTAAAAATTATACAGTGGACCCCCGCATAACGATCACCTCCGAATGCGACCAATTATGTAAGTGTATTTATGTAAGTGCGTTTGTACGTGTATGTTTGGGGGTCTGAAATGGACTAATCTACTTCACAATATTCCTTATGGGAACAAATTCGGTCAGTACTGGTACCTGAACATACTTCTGGATTGAAAAAATATCGTTAACCGGGGGTCCACTGTATAATAAACACGATGCATAACATATAAATAAGATAAATACACCCCACAGTAGAATAAACAAACATAAATGTGAGATGTGGTAGCAGACGACTTGCACAAGTGACGCCATATTAGAAATGATAATAATAATAATACTCACCGAGTCTCATTAAATGTCGTATATTACGTTAATATACACATTTTCATTAATCCATCCATGATATTTTTTTCAAAATTATATAATAAACACGATACATAACATAAAAAGATGATAAATACACCCCACAATAGAATAAATAAACATAAGTATAAGATGTGGGAGCCAGATAACTTGTACAAGTGACGGCAAGAATAACATTTTCTCTAATCTAACATAAGAGAAAATGTGTTACTGGGGGTAACTGTAGAAAATTATTCCTTTCGTATGTATGTAAGTAAGTTTATTCAGGTATACACAAATACAGTTACAAAGATTATCATACATAACAACATATGTGTAGAGACCCTAGGATAACCCAAAAAAGTCAGTGTGACTTATTTCCATTGCCTTCACTCAGAGCTTCATTTCTTCTCAAAATGATGTTACATGAGAATGGGAGTGTTCTTCTTTATTAATTCTACCGTATCAATGTAGAGACAACCTGTACACAATGTAACTTGTACACAAACCAGACGTGTACACTTCGTTTGTTTACAAAACTTACGTTCGCCTGGTTTGTTTACATAACTCTGCGCCTGTCCCCTCTCATGTACTCATTCTTTCTCTCTCTCATTTATTCGTTTTATCTCATTTACTTACTCCTGACCCTACATTAAGACTACAAATATTTTAAGGTAAGTAATGAGTGAACTGTATATACATTTTATCGCTCTGGGATGCTTAAATATCATAGAATATATGTGTGGGTGGGTTGGCCTGGTATGGTAGCCCGGCTGACTACCATACATACCACACTTGATTTTTTACAATAAATACTACTCATCTCACCCTATATTTTAAGGTAAGTAATGAGTGAACTGTATATACATTTTATCGCTCTGGGATGCTTAAATATCATAGAATAGTATGTGTGGGTGGGGTGGCCTGGTAAGGTAGCCTGGCTGATTACCATACATACCACACTTGATTTCTTACAATAAATACTACTTGTCTCACCCTAGATTAAGACTATAAATATTTTAAGGTAAGTAATGAGTGCACTATGTGTGTATTGTACTTTTTTATTGTTTTTGATGCCTGGTTCTATTGCTAACTTAATATATGTTAGTGTAAACTTGTTATCTAGTGTTTGTATGCATTTATAAGTGGAAAAAAAGGGTGTTCCACTTTACGGCGGTTTCCGCTTTACGGCGGTAGCCTGGAACCTAACCTGCCGTATAAGTGGGGCCCTGCTGTATATATCATGCTTCTCTGTTAATTATATTGTTTATTATGTTATATTAGATTAATTGTGATAGATAAATAAGCCATAGAATTGATAGTGTTATATTAAAATATTTTGTCCTGCCACTGGGGCAGATTAATGGCATTTCAATTAATTTAAATGAGGAAAATTGATTTGATATACAAGCAAATTGAGTTACAAGCTAGGTCACGAAATGGATCAAACTCGTAAGTCAAGGTTCCATTGTATAATTGCAAACGTGTGGGATGTAACCATGTTACCATATGAGGCTCACTTAAAGAAACTTAAAACTTACCAAGAAATAGTTGTTTGAACCCAATTTTCATTTTTTTTTAAACACATGTAAAATCAAGGCCAATTTTTTGGCTAAAAAATAATTACAAAATACAGTGGACCCCCGGTTTACGATATTATTTCATTCCAGAAGTATGTTCAGGTGCCATTACTGAACGAATTTGTTCCCATAAGGAATATTGTGAATTAGATTAGTCCATTTCAGACCCCCAAACATACACGTACAAACACACTTACATAATTGGTCGCATTGGGAGCTGATCGTAAAGCGGGGGTCCACTGTAGTCTGGTATTACAATACAATTTCATTTTACCCCAATTGGCAGTGTGAGGGTTAAAGAAAAGAGGCAAGTAGCTTCAACACAGTTTACATTTCTGAGAAAACAAGTTTGCAAGTCCTTTCAGATGAATGTACAATATCATACACCAGATTTTATGATCACCTGCCCCATCAAGAACATTTGGCACAACAGTACAGTATTACCTTCAAATTTGGTGGCTGAAGCTTGGCAAGAATTTCCATGAATCCAGCCACAGCAGCTGCTCCACACTTGTCCCTGTGCATGCCAGCCATTATTCCACCAGCTTTGATGTCAGCTCCACCAGTGTCATATGTGACACCCTTACCAACCAGCATCAGGGTACGCTCAATTTGGCCAGCACCCTCATAGGTCAAGTAGATAACTCTGCCCCGATGACGAGGTACACCTATCACGCCAAATAATTTTTTACAAACTGATTTACAAAAGAAAGGTGATAACATGTATTGAAGTACAGTATTCTTGCATTTTTCTGCAATAATGAATCTGAACCAAAGTTGCTATATACAGCCACATCAAGAGGGGGACAAATGTGAAGGCAGACCAATAAACTCATGACTAACACTGACAAGACCTTCTACATGATAAATGGGAGCAGAGCTACAAATATCCATTGCAAGATAAAATGAAGAAAAATTCTTAGATCTGTTCCATGACAGCAAGTTGAAATTCAACACCCACATTCAGCATATAAAAAAAGTATCCAAATCAGTTAGTATCCTAAGTTACTAGGTACCTCAAGCAGAACTACTTACACTGTACAACTCTAATGTATAGCTACCTCACCTATTCTATTTATGCCTGGGGATCCACTGCAGGAAATCACCTGAAGTCAATAACTCAAGAAAAAGCTCACCCTCTTCCAACCATTACTTGGAGGACCTCTACCCCTCCTACCTTCCATCCTAGGTTTATACACCTTTGTGAACTTGTCCCTTGCCATCCTTTTTACATGCCCAAACCACCTCAACAACCCTTCTACAGCCCTTTGAATTATACTCTGAAGGCAAAGCACTTAGTTATTCAGCTCCACTTTCTTATGGTTTTTATAGAAACTCTTCTCTTCATTGTTTAAAAGCATTCCTGCTATGTTTTATGAGAACTTTCAGTGTTTATAGAAAATATGTCTATCTTAAGATTAACTACAGTGAACCCTTGATATAATGGACTGATAGGGGATATATGTGATATCAGAATATCACAAAACAGCAATGAAATGCACTAAAGTACTCTACTGTGTACTTAATGTAGTACTTAACACAATTTACAGATATATTGCAATAAACACTCAAAATAAATAATTTATTTTTTTATTTTTTATTATCACACTGGCCGATTCCCACCAAGGCAGGGTGGCTCAAAAAAGAAAAACTTTCACCATCATTCACTCCATCACTGTCTTGCCAGAAGGGTGCTTTACACTACAGTTTTAAAACTGCAACATTAACACCCCTCCTTCAGAGTGCAGGCACTGTACTTCCCATCTCCAGGACTCAAGTCCGGCCTGCCGGTTTCCCTGAACCCCTTCATAAATGTTACTTTGCTCACACTCCAACAGCACGTCAAGTATTAAAAAACCATTTGTCTCCATTCACTCCTATCAAACACGCTCACGCATGCCTGCTGGAAGTCCAAGCCCCTCGCACACAAAACCTCCTTTACCCCCTCCCTCCAACCTTTCCTAGGCCGACCCCTACCCCGCCTTCCTTCCACTACAGACTGATACACTCTTGAAGTCACTCTGTTTCGCTCCATTCTCTCTACATGTCCGAACCACCTCAACAACCCTTCCTCAGCCCTCTGGACAACAGTGGGCTGAAGTTAGTACAATTTATCTAGTGGATTTTGCCCATAATTTGAAAAATCTGTTAAATCAAGGTCTGTTATATCAAGGGTTTACTGTATATATTATTTATGAATAACATACCTTTGGCACACCTATTAACAGCTGAAAATAAAGGGTACTGTTTGCAGAGCTTGACATCATCTGACACTATCTCCAGAGACACCTTTGTTCCCTGGAATACCTTCTTCACGTACTCCTCAACTCTTGGTGGTGCCATGCGCTCAGGATCAGAACCCCCAATATCTCGTGCTATACACCTGAAACATTATACAAAACTACTGTATCAAAATACAGTGGAACCTCTACTGACAATTTTAATTCATTCCATGATCTTGCTCACATCCCGATATGCTCGTTTGCAGAGTCAATTTTCCTCATTTAAATTAACTGAAATAGAATTAATTCATTCCAGGGGAACTACAGGCACGGGAATTTTTTTTCTTCAACAAGTCAGCCGTGTCTCACCGAGGAAGGGTAACCCAAAAAGAAAGAAAATCCTCAAAAAGAAAATACTTTCATCATCATTCAACACTTTCATCTCACTCATATATAATCCTAGACATAACAGAGGCTCTCTTTGCATTGCAACCCATTATTGTAAATACATAATCTCAATGTACTAGTACTTGCAAAGACATAAATAAATAAATAAATAAATCACTGTTTTTGCAGAGGTGCTCAGAATACAACAGCTTAGAAGCACATATGTATAAAGATACACAACATATCCTTCCAAACTGCTAATATCCCAAACCCCTCTTTTAAAGTGCAGGCGTTGTACTTCCCATTTCCAGGACTCAAGTCAAGCTATATAAAAATAAATGGTTTCCCTGAAGGAGTAGCAATAATGTTGAAGGATAAGTTAAGGCAGGAAAAGAGGGACTATAAATGTATTAATTCAAGGATTATGTGGAGTAAAATAAAGGTTGTATGTGAAAAGTGGGTTATAGTAAGCATATATGCACCTGGAGAAGAGAGAAGTGTAGAGGAGAGAGAGAGATTTTGGGAAATGTTGAGTGAATGCGTGGAGAGTTTTGAACCAAATGTGAGAGTAATGGTGGTTGGGGATTTCAATGCTAAAGTGGGCAAAAATGTTGTGGAGGGAGTAGTAGGTAAATTTGGGGTGCCAGGGGTAAATGAAAATGGGGAGCCTTTAATTGAGCTATGTGTAGAAAGAGATGTGATAATAAGTAATACATATTTTATGAGGAAGAGGATAAATAAATACAAGGTATGATACAGCACGTAATGAAAGTACAGTGGTCCCTCAATTATCGTCCTTAATCCGTTCCTGGAAACGGGACTGTTATCGAAATAGATGATTTTTGAATCAATTTTCCCCATAAGAAATAATGTAAATCCAATTAATTCGTTCCAGACACCCAGAAGTATCAACGACAATTTTTTTTTTTACCTAAAAGATAGATTTACATGCACAAAAGAATGAACAGTCAACATGACAGTTACCTTTATTGAAGGCTGTTGTAGATGAATGGAAGACAGGGAGGAGGAGAGAGGGAAGAGAGGTTATTGTTTGGAAGGGGAATCCCCCTCCATAAGGACTCTAGGTCACTTCAGGGTTCACTTCCCTAGCATAAATATAGATTTGCATGCAGAAAAAAATGCCAAATAAATGTAAAGCACTAATAAAATGTATAAATGAACATTGGTAATAGGGGTAGTTGATGAGTGGAACAGTCTGCCTAGTAGGGTGATCGAAACTAAAACATTGGGTAGTTTCAAATTTAGGTTGGATAAATACATGAGTGAGAGGGGTTGGATTTGAGTCAGACTTGCACCTGAGCTTATTGCTTGGGTAGCATTTGTTCTGTTAGTGGGTTGGATTTGTGAAGGACCGGCCTAGTATGGGCCAACAGGCTTATTGCAGTGTTCCTCCTTTCTTATGTTCTAAAAGCTATGGCTTGGGTAGTTTCAAATTTAGGTTGGATAAATACATGAGTGAGAGGGGTTGGATTTGAGTCAGACTTGCACCTGAGCTTATTGCTTGGGTAGCATTTGTTCTGTTAGTGGGTTGGATTTGTGAAGGACCGGCCTAGTATGGGCCAGCAGGCCTACTGCAGTGTTCCTCCTTTCTTATGTTCTTATTGGAGACTTGTTTGTGTGAGGGAGGGATGGCAAGTTTATTGTTGGAGAATATGACACTAATATCAACTTTACGGCTTATTTATCTATCACAATTCAACTAATATGACATAATAAACAATATTAATAACATAGAAACATGGAATATACTCTAGAATGAATAAAATAAGTCATTACGTATGTCACGAGAGGTGTTGTGTTGTGTTGTTGTTGGGTATATAAGGGCCACTGAGAGTAAGCCGTCCATAATGGTGGTGAAGCAGCAGCTGAGGCAGTGGTGTTTTCTGTAGCCCTATATAACTCCAACAACATTGGAGGAGTTGGTAGAATCGCTGAATCACTAAAGAAGGAACCCTCTACCACCATCACTACGACCTTCTACCACTATTACAACTGTTACCACCATCACTAGTACCTTCTACCACCATCACTACCACCATCAACCACTATCACAACTGCTTCCACTCTACCACCCCCACCTTTGTATTTTTCTACAAACTTTTTCATAAATTATATGTGTTTCTCACATTCTTTACCACAGGGCTGGCACTAGAAGCTTTCTTTGGAGCCATGGTAGCTTATTTAGCACTTGCAAGCACTAAAATCAATGGAATATTATGAAATATTTCGTAGGAGCATGTGAGGGGACCGTCGCTCACTGGTAAACAATGGCACACTGGTTGGGAAGGCAGGCCCAGGCGGCTCAGAGCGTGAGTACGCGTCCCGGACGAAGGACAATTAGTGAGTTAACGGACTATTTGCGAGCCAATGTTTAGACGAAATAATGGGCCTACATATTTCCGAAATGGACGATTTTCAGGCTGGACGATTATTGAGGGACCACTGTAGTTTGTTAGATTATGTATTGGTGGATAAAAGGTTGATGGGTAGGCTCCAGGATGTACACATTTATAGAGGGGCAACTGATATACAGTGGACCCCCACATACCGTTGGCATCACATAACGTTAAATCCGCATACCGATACATTTTATCGCTAAGATTTTGCCTTGCATACCGCTAAAAACCCGCTCAACGCTATTCGTCCGAGACGCGTCTAATGTGCGGCCTGAGCCAGCCTCACATGTTCCGCCGGTGGCATTGTTTACCAGCCAGCCTCCGTGGTAACATCCAAGCATACAATCGGAACATTTCGTATTATTACAGTGTTTTTGGTGATTTTTATCTGCAAAATAAGTGACCATGGGCCCCAAGAAAGCTTCTAGTGCTAACCCTACAGGAATAAGGGTGAGAATTACTATAGAGATGAAGAAAGAGATCATTGCTAAGTATGAAAGTGGAGTGCGTGTCTCCGAGCTGGCCAGGTTGTATAGTAAACCCCAATCAACCATCGCTACTATTGTGTCCAAGAAAACGGCAATCAAGGAAGCTGTTCTTGCCAAAGGTTTAACTGTGTTTTCGAAACAGAGATCGCAAGTGATAGAAGATGTTGAGAGACTCTTATTGGTGTGGATAAATGAAAAACAGATAGCATCTCTCAAGTGATCATAAGTGAAAAGGCTAGGAAGTTGCATGAGGATTTAATTAAAAAAATGCCTGCAACTAGTGATGATGTGAGTGAATTTAAGGCCAGCAAAGGTTGGTTTGAGAGATTTAAGAAGCGTAGTGGCATACATAGTGTGATAAGGCATGGTGAGGCTGCCAGTTCGGACCACAAAGCAGCTGAAAAATATGTGCAGGAATTCAAGGAGTACATAGACAGTGAAGGACTGAAACCTGAACAAGTGTTTAATTGTGATGAAACAGGCCTGTTTTGGAAGAAAATGCCAAGCAGGACCCACATTACTCAGGAGGAAAAGGCACTCCCAGGACATAAGCCTATGAAAGACAGGCTTACTCTTCTCATGTGTTCCAATGCTAGTGGTGATTGCAAAGTGAAGCCTTTATTAGTGTATCACTCTGAAACTCCCAGAGCGTTCAGGCAAAAGAATATCCTCAAGGCTAATTTGTGTGTGCTGTGGAGGGCAAACAGTAAGGCATGGGTCACTAGGGACTTTTTCTATGACTGGTTACACCAATCATTTGCCCCAATGTGAAAAATTACCTAACTGAAAAGAAATTAGACCTTAAGTGCCTCCTGGTGTTAGACAATGCCCCTGGTCATCCTACAGACATGGCAGAGCGACTTTGTGGGGACATGAGCTTCATTAAGGTGAAGTTTTTGCCTCCTAATACCACTCCTCTCCTGCAGCCCATGGACCAGCAGGTTATTGCAAACTTCAAAAAACTGTACACAAAAGCTCTGTTTGAAAGGTGCTTTGTAGTGACCTCAGAAACTCAATTGACTCTAAGAGAGTTTTGGAGAGAGCACTTTAATATCCTCAATTGTGTAAACCTTATAGGTAAGGTTTGGGAGGGAGTGATTAAGAGGACCTTGAACTCTGCTTGGAAGAAACTGTGGCCAGAATGTGTAGACCAAAGGGATTTTGAAGGGTTTGAGGCTAACCCTGGGAATCCTATGCCAGTTGAGGAATCCATTGTGGTATTGGGAAAGTCCTTGGGGTTGGAGGTTAGTGGGGATGATGTGGAAGAGTTGGTGGAGGAGGACAATGAAGAACTAACCACTGATGAGCTGCTAGATCATCTTCATCAGCATGAGGCCACACCTAAGGAAACTGCTTCAGAGGAGGGGAGAGAGAAATTGAAAAAGTTGCCTACTTCAAAGATTAAGGAAATGTGTGCAATGTGGCTTAAAGTGCAAACCTTTTTTGATGACAATCACCCTAACACAGCTATTGCAAGCCGTGCTGGTGACTATTACACTGACAATGTTGTAAACCACTTTAGGAAAGTCATAAAGGAACAGGAGGTACAGGCCTCTATGGACAGATATGTTGTGTGACAGAAGTCCAGTGACTCTGAAGCTGGTCCTAGTGGCATTAAAAGAAGAAGGGAAATAACCCCGGAAAAGGACTTGACACCTCAAGTCTTAATGGAAGGGGATTCCCCTTCTAAACACTAAGACTCTCTCCTCCTCCCATCCCATCAATCACCACCAGATCTTCAATAAAGGTAAGTGTCGTGTAACTGTGCATGTCTTTCTCAGCTTGTGTGTATTAAAATTAATATTTCATGTGGTAAAATTTTTTTTTTCATACTTTGGGGTGTCTTGCATGGATTAATTTGATTTCCAT